TTAGATTATATTACTGTAGTCAGTTCTTCGCAATGGATATGAATGCATATATAAATGCACCCTCTTTTTGGGAACCAAAGTTTGGCCACACATAGCCTACACCGTTTTTTCTCGGGATCTGGGTCTTGCATTCCCCACAGTCAGCATTTATTTGTTTGCACATTTTGTAATGTTGCATTTTGGTTTAAAGAAGGCTCTGCTGCTGCGGAAGAAGGGGTGTGTAAAATGCGCAGAGCAAGCTTCTCCTTTACTTGTCCAACACATGCCGTTTATGTGCACTTCTGTTTTATAAAAAAAAAGGGTTTGGAGATATTCAAATAACGAAAATAATATTGCCAATAACAAAAATCCCAATTAGTATATTTCTTGTCGTCACTGTTTATCAGAAAAATAATATAATGTATTATCCCCAGTGTTATTCTAACCACAATTATGTTTTAGCAGGCTTTTAACAGGTTCTCCTGTCATGTCTTGTAAATTAAAGTCATAGTTGTGCTTTTTTTTTCTCCAATCATTGATTATTGCTAAATAATCCCACATATTACCTGTGAAATCCTTACACTCTGAATTCCCCCCCCCCCACAGGCTCTGAGAACTTCATCATGGATCCTCCTGCAGGCGATGTAGGTAATCTCCCTGTCTACAATGCTCCTGATGAGGAAGAGGTAGGTGAGGTCAGGAACGCTGTCGAGGATGAAGGTGAGTTTGCTGTCGGTTTTTTAGGTGGAGGTCATGGACTGAGGGAAGAGGAGGAGGAAGAGGATTTGGAAGAGGAGGAGGATGAAGAGGAGGATGAGGGGGAAGACTGGACATCTGAAGATTCTGGATACGGGTCCTTGTCCTCCGAGGAAGAAGAGGAGGAGAGGAGGAGGAGGAGGAGGAGGAGGAGGAGGAGGAGGAGGAGGGAGGAGGAGGAGGAGGAGGAGAAGAAGAAGAAGAAGAAGAAGAGGAAGAGGAGGAGGAGGAGGAAGAGGACACTGAAGATTATTGTGATGACGGTGATGCCGATATCGGACGTCTCCCCCCTTTCACCCCAGCAATTCCCCGCCGATAAATGTTTGGGAGGTATTGCGTGGGACCTTCACTCCAAGCTTCCTCCCTGCAAATCCCTGCTACCTCCCTTTGGATGTTGCCCCCCTGGAGGTTTCTGCACCGCGACTGGAACGTCCTGAAGAAGGTCCACCCTCAGCCCCTCCAAGGTCAGGATTATTCGCTCCAAGAACACCAGGCTTCGTCTTCTCCACGAAGAGGATCAGGGAAGAGGACTCCAGGAACTCGGCACCCTCCACCTTAGGTCTCTGCTGCCCCATGGTGCCCCTTCTTGTCGCGCAGCGCCCACCTGTGAGATATTGGCAGGCATTTCGCCCTTTGGGTGTTGCCCCTCCGGAAGATTCTGCGCCGCAAGTGGAACGTCCTGAAGAAGCTCCATCCTCAGCCCCTCCATCGACATCAGGCCTCGGCTTCTCCACAAAGAGGACCTGGGAAGAGGCATGCAGGGAAGAGGACTACACTTACACTCTGAATTCCCCCCCCTCAGGCTCTGAGAACTTCATCATGGATCCTCCTGCAGGCGATGAAGGTAATCTCCCTGTCTACAATGCTCCTGATGAGGAAGAGGTAGGTGAGGTCAGGAACGCTGTCGAGGATGAAGGTGAGTTTGCTGTCGGTTTTTTAGGTGGAGGTCATGGACTGAGGGAAGAGAGGAGGAGGATTGGAAGAGGGATTTGGAAGAGGAGGATAAGGGGGAAGACTGGACATCCGAAGATTCTGGATACGGGTCCTTGTCCTGCTCCAAGGAAGAGGAGGAGGAGGAGGAAGAAGAAGAGGAGGAAGAGGACACTGAAGATTATTGTGATGACGGTGATGATGGTGATGATGGTGATGACGGTGATGCCGATATCGGACGTCTCCCCCCTCTCACCCAGCAATTCCCGCCGGTAAATGTTTGGGAGGTATTGCGTGGGACCTTCACTCCAAGCTTCCTCCCTGCAAATCCCTGCTCCCTCCCTTTGGGTGTTGCCCCCCTGGAGGTTTCTGCACCGCGACTGGAACGTCCTGAAGAAGGTCCACCCTCAGCCCCTCCGAGGTCAGGAGTGTTCGCTCCAACAACACCAGGCTTCGTCTTCTCCACGAAGAGGATCAGGGAAGAGGACTCCATCGACTCAGCACCCTCCACATCGGGCCCCGGCTTCTCTACCAAGAGGTTCAGGGAGATGACTCCAGGGACTTGGCACCCTCCACCTTAGGCCTCTGCTGCCCCATGGTGCCTCGTTCTGTCCAGCAGTGCCCACCCGTGACCTTTTGGCAGACATTTTGCCCTTTTGGCGTTGCCCCTCCGGAGGATTCTGCGCCGCAAGTGGAACGTCCTGAAGAAACTCCATCCTCAGCCCCTCCATCGACATCAGGCCTCGGCTTCTCCACCAAGAGGACCTGGGAGGAGGCGTGCAGGGAAGAGGACTTTAGGGACTCTCCAACCCCAACCTCAGGCCTCGGCCTCTCCACCAAAAGGACCAGGGAAGAGGACTTTAGGGACTTGACACCCTCCAGCTCAGGCCCCTGCCCCCCCCTGGACAAGAGATACCGTCCAGAGGACCACAGGCTCCCTGAAGACAGCGACTCGGACTGAGACGGACGTCTGCTGCAGGATCTGAAAACCTTTGCGTCTGGCAGGACTGATGAAGCCCCAGGCAGCTTCAAACACATCTTTCTGGGTTGGCGATAGGTCAGATCTTGCACCAGGGCTTTATTTTATTAATATGTCATTTTTCATTTCGATATTTTTTTCTTTTGGATAATAATTGATGATGGTCGATGCTCATACCAGGTTTTGTGATGGGTCAAAATTGCATTGGGGCTTTTTATTTATATATTACTGTCTTTTTAATATTATTTGATAATGGTCAATGCTGATAGCAGAGGTAAGAGGAAGAGGATGAATAGGACGTTGTAGACGATGGTGTATCACTCCCCTCTCGTCCAGCAGCTCCCACCTGCAAGTATTTGCTACAGGATTTGAAATCCTTTGCCTCTATCAGGACTGATGAAGCCCCAGGCATCTTCAAACACGTCCTGCTGGGTCGATAGGTCAAATGTTGCACCAGGGCTTTTATTAATATATTACTTAATTTTTTATATCGTTTTTACTTTTGGATAAAAAATGTTGATGATGGTCGATGCTGATACCAGAGGTAAGTTAACATGGTATGGTTGTGTATTCTTTCTTTTTAAAGTATGGCTTTGCAAGACAGGTAAGTAAATCGTTTAAGACGGTGGTTAAACTAATTCAAGCACATTTACTCAAGTACTGCTCAGTTTTTTCTAGGTGCAACATATAGTGCTAAAGCAGTGACTATTAACATCACGAAAAGTCTCCAAGTCTCTTTCAGGTTTTCTAACAGGTCTCCAGCATTACCCACGCTGCATCAACCTTCCTACAAAAAGCAACTCCGTGGAAGACTGAAACTCAAGGATGTTCCAGGATGTTCAGACGAAGAAGATGAGATACTGCAGACCACACCAAAAGAAAGGATGACAACTGATTAAGAGCGGGTTGTCTTTTGGGGCTTAGTAAGTGATCCCCTCACAAGGATTGTATTTATTATTGGAGTTTTATCATATTTGTCCATCATTGAAGGTTACGTTTAACAGCTTGCAACAGTTCAGAGGTTGTATATTTGAGTATTTATTTTTTGTGTTTCTGTCTCACAGGGCAGGACTCCTCTTGGTGTTTTTGGCAGCTGAGAGTAGATCACCAACCGATGATCCCAGAAAGACCCAGCACCACAGCAGACCGCTCTCAGCTTAGTCCCAGACCCTGTGAGTACAGTAAGGACCTCCATGCCCTTCACCCCAGCCCCCGACAACCCCCGCTCCACCCACCAGCCGAGAGGACGAGGAGCTCCCCAGCCCGACCAGCACAGAGGACGTTGTTACATCTTCTTCTTCTTCTTCTGTGCTGGTGGGATCGGGAAGCTCCTCACACACACAGGAAGCTTTCACCACCTCCACATCTGTGCTTAGGAAACAAGAAGGAAATATGACTTTGAATGACATCTTGAATAAATAAATAATACATGATTTTGTTTGAATACTCAATTCTGATTGGTAAATGTGGACATTTCAGAGGTTAATACTCGCTAACACAACTCTGCTAAGGATCTAGTGACCCTTAGCAGAGGTGTGCTAAGAATGATAAAGGGACTACGTGCAGTCCTATCAATCCGCAGAAAGAAGTCCGGCCGGTATAACGTCAGCTGTGGACAACAAACATTAGATTGCCTTGTCAGAAAACACAGTGGAATACTTTTTTAATATTCATTTTTATATTTGTGGAGAGCACCAAACGTTGGATTCTTGAAGGCTAAACTCTCCCGTAAAGAAAAGAAAAAGAGAACAAGAGAAGGAAAGAGGCGTCGGGATCCATGATTATTCTGCCAGAACTAGAGTATGATGTACTCAGGTAGAAGTACCGAAGTGTAGGAATACTCTGTTACAAGTAAAAGCCCTGCTTAATGTTACTCAATCACAAAAATAAATGTATTAGCATCAAAATATACATAAAATATCAAAAGTAAAAGTATCATTATGCAGATTTCAGAATGATATAGTATATGTTTTGATTGTAATGTTTATCAAAGCTTGTAATGTGTAGCTAGTTTTAATTACTTTGAGGCTGAAGCTTGTGATTTTACTCCAGGTTTCATTTTTTGTTTTTGTTGACTATTTCACATCATTAATCCAATTCTGAAAATGTACTAAAGGTACTAAATAAATGTAATGGAGTACATGATTTAACTCTGAAAGATAGATAGATAGATAGGTACTTTATTGATCCCAATTTGGGAAATGTTTGCGTTGCAGCAGCATAAAAAACACAAGGCAATGTACATAAGAAAAATTAAGACACAGAAATAGTCCAAAATATTTCAGAAATAGAAATAAAATAGCATAAAAAAGTTACAAGTTAAAAAAAAATATATATATATACATACATGTGGAAAATATACATGTGGAAATGTCCAGTAACAAATATAATGCAGGATATTATTTAGCAAGAATGGATTATTCAATATGAAATATAATGTGAATGTAAAATGTACAGTGGGAGTTGAAGTCCAGTTATTAAGAGAAGCTATGGAGCAGAGAGTTCTCTGCCAGCCAGAGGGGATTTGTTATAGAGAGTTATTGCAGTGGGCAGGAATGTTTTCCTGTATCTGTCCTTGTGACAGCGGAGCTGCAGAAGTCTGTTGGAGAAGGAGCTCCGCTGGCCATAATTACACATTCAAATGAGAAGACACTTGATTTTTGGAGATACACTGATGTTGTTAATCATCAGTGAATTGTGTAGGAACACCCTGTGGCCGCAGGGTAGAGCTGTTTCTCAGGTATTCACTCATACAGGGAGAATCTCATTAATTGAATGTTTGTCTGTCTGCTGTCAGTCAGCAGATTCAGTTCGGTGCTGTGAGACTCATTTTGCTTTGTTCTGGATTTATTTTCTAAGCAACACTTGGATACAACATCGCATCTCCAGGCCCAGAACACATTACCTCCAGCAGTTTAAGCTTCTAGTTTCAGGTAAAGTTGGTAAACTTAGTAAAACTTCAGATTTTTCTGCTTTTTATTTTTATGAATGCCTATTTTTCCTTCTCTGCTGATGCTCCATCCTGTTTGTTGGGCTTGCTGTCAGTGAGCTTGATAACCTGAAGGCGTGTGTGTGTGTGTTGTTTGTGTGTGTGTGTGTGTGTGTGTGTGTGTGTGTGTGTGTGTGTGTGTGTGTGTGTGTGTGTGTGTGTGTGTGTGTGTGTGTTCATTGATTAACTGCAGCAGCATGTTACCACCTGTGAAGAAGGACCGGGTCATTTCTCACCTTCCACATGTAACACACACACACACACACACCACACACACACACACACACACACCACACACACACACACACACACACCACACACACAGACAGACACCAACACACACACACACAGTAATGCAATGCAATTTCAACTAACCGTGTTAATATTAGTGATGAGGTTATTTTGGCCTGAATGCATCTCTTTGTTTCTCTGAGATTAGGCTGCACATTTGGAAAATGCTGCTGTCCTCAGAAAATCTTATTACATTTGGTTATATTTAAGTTATATTTAAGAAATAAACAAGGACTGTTTTCATGGCTCTTTTAATGCTTATTCGTGGTAATTACCATGCTGCGAATGGATCTGGCCCTTCCTACATCCAGGACATGGTTAAACCGTACACCCCAGCGCGTGCACTACGCTCTGCATCAGCCAAACGACTCGTTGCGGCCCTCGCTTGAGGGGGACCCAAGTTCCCATCAGGCAAAAACACGTGGGTTTGCTGTCCTGGCTCCAAGATGGTGGAATGAGCTCCCCATTGACATCAGGACAGCAGATAGCTTGCATATCTTCCGGCGCAAACTGAAAACTCATCTCTTTCGACTCCACTTCGAGCGTTAGAACTATTAACGAAGCACTTTTATACTAATAAAGGACTGGCTTACCTAAAGCCAGTTGAGTAGCACTTGAAATGTTTGGCTCTATGAAACCTGATGTACTTATATGATTCTGTTTTCTTCAAGGTTGTGTCTTCCTGGTCGAATGTACTTATTGTAAGTCGCTTTGGACAAAAGCGTCAGCTAAATGTAATGTAATTAAGGTTTTCATGGATGGCAATAAGAGAAAGGCAGAGACGATTTAACTTTGTGATATTCTGGCTGCTTCATTTTAAAAATCCACTTTTTCTTTCACTGTCCAATGTGCTCACGTCCATAAGTCGCTTTTCTTCACAGTGTTTCAGTACAAATGCAGCGCTGCACACCAAAGATGGCTTCCACCCTCAGGTGAAGGCTGCCTGCCAGGTTCAGAGGACGGACTCAGTGAGGTGAGATCAGAGGGGGGGGGATAAGAAAACACAAGTTCCCCCATCCTGCAACACTGTTTAAAGTAAATGAGTTAGTAAGGGCAGGGCACTTTAAGTCACGCTATGTCTGCTGACCTCGACCCTCACTTCTAAACTATGTTGATCTGGAGTGTCTCTGTAATAGATAAGGCCGGTGATATTTCTTAAAGGTGGGGTAGGTTGACTATGCTTGCACGTCATGGTACCATAGCACCTCCAAGGCGCTAAAAATAAAATTTCAAACATCGCAAAATAAACTGGTCAGACTACTGCTTGACCTTTCATCTAGAACCCACCTCACCTCTGCCCACTTTGACAAACTAGGATGGCTTAGAGTAGACGACAGAGTACAGCTACTTGCAATGGGCCTGGTCTACAAGATCCACACCTCTATGGTACTCATGTACATGTCAAAATTCTTCCCAAAGATCAAGGAATACCATGATCATAACACCAGAGGGAGCTCCACAAATCATGTGAAACCCAGATTTGGCACAAAAAAGGGGGGAATACACGTTTCGCAATTATGCCACATCAAGGTGGAACGCTCTTCCCACAACTGTAAAGGAAAGTAAAACTATACTTACCTTCAAAACCTCTCTTGAAGAGCACCTTCGGGGGAGAGCATTGTAAAACTGGCCCCGGTAATGGTACAAATCTCAACCTGTCGTACAATGGACAGCTTCCTTCCCCCCCCCCCCCCCCCATCTATGTATATACTCGCATTTTAGACTCTGTTACTAACTGTATATCTGTAGATTTGGTATGTCTTAAATGTCCGGTTAGGATGTATTAGAACGAAATCTAAAATGAAAATTGTAAATAAGCAATCTGTATGTAAAAAAACCACCTGTATGTAAATTTTAAATAAGCCATCTGTATGTCAAATTTGTCTTATATGTCTTAAATGATATGATGAATTGGAAATGGGGGACCCTGATGTAAACAAGACGAAAGTCTTTCTCTGGTCTGCATCCCCTTAACAATTGTATGTTTTGAGCTGTACTGTACTGTACCCAATATACAAGCTGTTAATAAACTTTTCAATCAATCAATCAATCAGGTAATTCTCTTCAGAAACACTTTTGTTATATTCCATGGAATGCTCTTAACATCCCGATAGCAATGAATATATTAAATGCTTTGACAATAAATACATTAAAATTCATCTGTGGAAGCCGTGGCGCTGTAAAAAAGCACGACCAATCATCTGAGCTGGCCCGGCTAAAATAACTGGATGGCCTACCTGCCTCTGTGCACAAACTTATCTCGTGCCCTCATTGGTCATGTACGCATTCGTGTGTGTTGGAGGAGGGGCTTTGTAAGGAAGTGACAGATTTTTTCCGGCTGCGTACTTTCAAATTCAAGCGCACTCGAGCTGGTTTCTCCATTCTTACCTACCCTACCTTTAATACATCACATAAAACATTTGATAACTGCATCTCTCAATACTTTACAGCTGTTACACTCATAAACCTTAACAAACTTATCACACATTTGACTCATAAAGCTGTTTTGCTGTTTTGGTCTGGGCGGAACCTTTTTTTTGAAGGTGTTTCCTACCAACTCACATTGGGTGTTTCTTTGAGGTTAAAACAATGTCAAAGGCCTTCCTCAGGAAGAAACTGCAAAGCTGGAATATTTCAAACTTTACGTCGTTAACATCCATGTTCACTTGCTAGCAGTTTTCTTTTCCCCTCCTGTTCCTCACACTGTCAGTCAGTGGAACAGCGTGAACAGCGACAGGAATGTGTATCGTTTGCACTAGACCAGGGGTGGGGAACCTCCGGCCCCCGGGCCGTATGCGGCCCGCGAGACAATTGGATACGGCCCTCGAGGTAACTCACGCAAAAAAAGATTTTTTTTTTAGAAATCTAGACCGCAAAAGAATTAAACAAGCGAGTGCCTGTTTTTCCAGGCCAAGGTCAGGGTCCTTGAACACAACACGAGCCTAACGTGTCATCACGTGGTATATGTCTCGCCCGACAGGGGTTTAGAGCTGCCGGAGAGCACCAGGGCTGCTTCTCAGGTCGATTAAATGAAATCCTTGCTTCCCTCACTTGCGTCGTTTCCCTGCGTTTAGTCCCTCCCACCAGGGAAGCATGGAGGGACGCAAGGAAACCACGAGAAGCAGGGAAATGAGTTTTAAGAGCAATGGGACGTCCTTTCCTCCGGAGCGTCACGTGAAGCGACGTCCGTTTGTGATGACGCTGCACAGCTGATCGTCTGACAGCAGCTCTGTCCCCGTTATTTCCACACACCCCCGCCTCTGTTAGTATATCCAGTCTATGGTTAGTACACATTTACTGACACAAACATTTGTATCATCTGTTGTAGACCCAAATAAATAAAATAAAATAAGAACTCATTGTCAAAAAAGATAAACGCCATTCTTAAAATTTATAAACGAACAATAGTTTGATTAATATTGATTAGAGTGCACAATAGAAATGAAATAATTGAGAGAAGAAAAAGAGATATGTTATCTATCAAAACTCAGTTAGATTAACATTCATTGGATTGCACACTTTGTTTGTTTGTTTGGATATGTAGCACATTAACATTTTAATAGCACTTAATGACTGACTGAATGGAAATGACAATAAATGAAAATGTAAAACGAAAAAAGCGATCATGAAAATGTTTCCAAAAAATGAATTAAATGATTTTTGACCACTTTGTTGTTCAGATATATCACATATTTGTAACTAAATGATACATGAATTGAAACAAAACACGGTATAAACTGAGGAGTGACTCCCGTGAGGTTCATGTATTTTCTTCACTCTGCTCTCATGTCAAGAAGCATCAGATCAGTGCATGCACTGCCTCGTCCAATCAGTGAGCGATACACAGTAAGGGGGCGGGGTGAGTATCTGAGGATTTCATCGGAGGATGGTCTGGTGGTTCCTCGGTTATCGCTCCTCCATGATCGCTCCTCGCTCCTCGGTCCTCCGGCAGAAATAAGAGCCATGGGACGGTACTCAAGATGGCGCGGGCAAATCAACTTCCGGTGAGACCGAGGAGCGAGGAAATGAAAATAGTCGACCTGAGAAGCAGCCCAGGACGTCGCTCTGGCCGGGACTTCACAAATGTCAGTACCCATAAGGAGCCGTACACATGCCGCAGTTTTTGCGTGGCTGTGTCTTTAGTTGTAAACCCAGTGGCGATCTGTTCATCTGTCATACTGATCATACAGTCAATAACTTTGTTGTTATTAGCATCTGGTTAGCTAGCTATGCTAACGAATATAAGTACCTTGGTGTCCATCTAGATAATACACTCAGCTGGAAGGCGCATGTTCAAGGTCTGTGCTCTAGACTTCAACAGCGATTGTACTTTCTGCGTCGACTCCGGGCTTTCGGAGTCGACCAGAAGTTCATGTTACTGTTTTATCATGCAGTGTTGGAGAGCATCATTAGGTATGGTATCACTGCCTGGTACGGTAACTTGACAGTGCAGTCAAAGTCACAGATCGCTCGCCTGGTACAGACGGCTATGAAAATTATGGGGGTTAAAAAACACCCATCTCTCCAAAACATATATGACATATGAGCAGTCCATTATCAGACAGGCAAACAAAATAGTGTCTGATCCCACCCACATACTCCACCCAGAATTCCAGCTCCTACCTTCTGGTAGAAGATTCAGGGTTCCCAAGAGCAGGCTGAACCGCTATAAGCACTCATTCCTACCAATGTCCGTTAAACTTCTTAACATTGACAGGAAGTCAAATGTAGTCGAAGTCAAATGTAATGAAATGTACTTTTTTTTAAAAATGTTGGCCATGAGGGTTGTGCAATAGGTCGCCATTGTCAGTATGTGCGTCTGCGTGTATTGTGTTTGTTCAAACGGTGTATGATTGATGATATGTGTATGTCTCTTAAATGTCCACTATGTTTGTATATTATGTACATGTATGCGGAACTGCTGGACGGAGCCCAGAACGAATTTCCTTACGGGGACAATAAAGTATATCGTATCGTATCGTAATATAAGACGCTTTTTCTAAAACCAGTGAGGTAAAGGCACATCTTTATATGATCATTATAGTTATAAAAAAATAAGAGAATAAAGTAAACAGGTGTAAAATAGGCTACTATATGACAGTAAAAAAAGTTGTTATTAATAAACAACAATACAGTTTGAAAGGGGAGTGATTTGTAAAATATCCATAAAGAAAATCTGCTTACTGTTCTGTTTCATATGGGTGTTGAGAGATGTATCCATAAATCTCTTAACTCTTAAAGTGCACCAGATTGATGCTTTTAACTTCAACATTTAAAAAAAAAATCTTCCCGGGGGAGCATTGCCTCTCGGACCCCCCTAGAGGAGGATAGGTCCCCCCACACTTAAATCATATTCACATGGATAGGAAACTAAATTGCACACATCTTGTGTCCATATATTTCTGTTTTGGTGGTCATGCCACAACCGTGCACGTGCATGCATGCGCGAGTCATGGTAAAATATCTGGATTAAGAGGTTGCTTTTTCTTTGCACAGCATGAAAGAAAGGCGAAATGAATGGGCTGTGATTTTAGTATTTTTAAGCAGAGGTCAATAATTTGTACGGCCCTCGGAGGATGTTGAAAACATTTAAATGGCCCTTGAGAGGAAAAAGGTTCCCCACCGCTGCACTAGACGGACTAAACAGCCTTACTTGTGAAGACTGTGTTCTTTCTGAGAGTGCTGCTTGTAATGAAATGACTACATGTGCCCTCTTATTAGCAGTTGAGCCACAAAAGGATGTTGTTTCTTAGATCGCTTGCTTTGATGGATTTTACACATGCTATTACTGAAACGCAATGAAATGTGCCTTCATATCAAAGGGAACAAAGTCAAGAGAAAGACACTTCTATTCTTTCATTCTAATCCCTTTTATCATCTTGCGACCTACTTCATCAGAAATATAGTAAAAATAAGTATCCCAATACTCCTAATGCACCAGTGTGGCTCTTATGTTTCTAGAATGCATTGTTGGTACAGTATTATACAGCTCTATCATTCAAACCCTTTATGCTGTATCTCACATTGTTCCCTTTAAAGCCAAATCAATTGTTTAATTTGAATGTGTGTTCCTCCCAGGGCTCACAGACAGCACAGAGGCCGATCGGACACCAACCAAGAGGAAATCCAACTGCTGCTGATCAGAAAATGGCCGCCTGGATACACTGTACTGAGCACACAGCAACACATGACGGCACAGAGGAGGGGGAAATCAGACTGAAATATGGACTCACCATGCACACTGTGGATATAATGAACAGACTGTATATAAAGTGATGACATAACTAAAACATGTATTTGTGTTGCTCTCAGGTGGCCTGAGAGGAGGTTGTATATATTGATTTCTAAGTTAAGACAACAAGAAGTCCTCTCAGAAATGTTTGTACTGCTGGATGGAGTTACACATTTTAAAGCTTTGTAATATGTGACCCGCTCTATCGAAATCAGTCGGAAGTCGCAACGGCTCATTTAAAAAATAAACGTGGATTTGCGTACAAAACTATTTTTTCGGGGTTCGAGTGTTTTGCTTGATTGTAAACAAACAAAGTCTTGGCTTTCAGAATATGAAACTTTTATTTCCAAACTCACACGATAAATACATTCTTTAAGCTTGTAAAGGGAAGATGACAGGCAATCTGCTCTTCCGCAGCTCTGCCCCCCCTCCCTCCGGCTGATATTATGAATGTAAGCGTAGAGTAATCATAAATAACACGGCAGGATCCGTTACAGTTTGTTTTCATCTGATTTTAATTAAACAAAGTCTTGGCTTTCAGAATATTAAACTTGTTTCGGCAAATTCAGATGATAAATATAACTTTGAAGCTTGTAACGGCATAATTACAAGCGGAGAACGGAGTAATTTAACGTCACAGCAGGCATAACAACAGCCGGTGTTTCTCGTGAGGGTTTTCCCCGGGAAACACGCAATACACACAAACGCAAAATTACACAAACACACACTCGCGAGGTTCCCCCAGACCAGTAATCCAAACGAAAATATCTTCCCTCCGTAGTATTTTGATCATTTGCTCCGCTAATAATCAATCAGATCGATGGATTCCAGAGAAGAGGAAACTTTGAAGGCCTTTTTCTCAAAGTGATGACTCGGTGACAGTCATTATATAATGTGACATATTTCGCTTGATATTTGGAGTACAAAAACAATCCTGATATATCATCAGAAAGCTAGGAATATCCTCTTTCTAACAGTGTATAGGCCTACAACTCAAAATGTGTCTTCGGGTCAATGCGACTGATTTCGATAGAGCAGGTCACATATGCTTGTTGAAGATTATTCTCTTCTTTTGTTTAACTGCACTTGCTTTTATAAACATGTGTCTCCTACCAGGCTACATGTTTTTTGGAGAGAATGTCAGTGCCAGACTCGAGTGCATTTCTTTTGTTTCCTCGCCGTCATGTGTCTGTGCTGCTAATGTGAAGCCTGCGCCAGCACACATGACCGCAGTCATACCCACAACGCATCTCTCTCCTCTGACATAAGGGTTCTCATGATCTTGAAAATGGAGGGATTGTTTTCATAAATGCAAGCAAACAGGAAGTTGCATCTGAAGTTAATTGATTTGCTCGCTCAGTTTATCATTTGTTCTTATCTGGAAACAGTCTTTAATTACAGCTCATGGATTATGACTTGTAAATAAATTGGTTCTATCACCGTTTTGTGTTTTTGTTGAAGTAGAAAAGCTAAATAGCCGAACGAACGGTAATGTTTTGTAAAATGTGTCACATTCCGTTCCCAGCTAATCACATTTCCACACACACAAAGATGTACATCACATGACCAGACTAAGTGTTTTCCCGAAAGTAGCATAGGCAAGACTCAGGGTTTAATATGAACACTTTTATTAAAGGGATCACAGGTAGAAAAGGTCATCAGCAGTGCCAAAGACATCATTCCTCCTCTCTAACGAACTACCAGGAACCAATCACAGCCTTGCTGAGAAAGTTGCAGTATCTTAATCTGGCGGGAGACGTAACGAAATTGAATACCAGCGCTGCCTGTACTGTGGCAGAGGCACAGCAAGAAGACGTTAAAATGCATAAGTCAAGAGGATGCAGAGAAAAACTTTCGCACGACGACCACGAGAGATTCAATGTTTGTTCTTTTAACGACAATATATTTCTTTTACTGAAATAGCTGCGTGCACTTCTGATTATTATACACAGAAAGAGATATACACGCAGTGGCAAGTCAGTGCGATGGTAGCCAATACGCTGAGAGACATTTCATCCACTGAAGCATCTTCATTTTTACTGCTGAGTGAATTACAGCAGAAATGTATCACATCCGGCGTGGTGGCACACTTCAAACCCCATGTCAAACGTGAAATACTCACTAAACATTAAAAACCCAAGGGATTCAAATTGGAGCCAACTTAAAGAATGACGTTCTGACACAGACATGATACTGACTTCCACTTGTTACTAAAAATCAATTGTTTAATAAATGACTGTTTCTTCACTTTCTCACATAAGTCCTCTCAACAACCACAGTTACCTCCAAAGGTGCATGTTGTTAGTGTCAATAGGAGTCAACAATACAATAGAGGCTATCTAGGAGCCGAACACATAGGCAGTTGATCAGAATACAGATAAACTCAGCTGACATGAGAGTTTCTCCTTGATTTAGATTTTTAAATCAGCCTCAACACTCAAATTCACAGTGTATGTGTGTTTGTGGTCACAGGTGTGTTTGTTTTAACAGATGTGAAGAGCGGAGGCTTGAGATTCAAACAGAAAAAAACTGTTTTTATTCATTGTGACGCATTCCATACAAATTAAATGTCCTGATTGGCTTGGCAAAGCGCTCTTTTGGCAACTGCTCGCAAAAATCCACTAACCACTAATAGAGGAAAAGTGGGTTTTTGAAGATGAGACTGTGCGCCTCTGTCAAAACCATTCATAGATTAAACTAAAAGCAATCGCTGAAGTAAAGAAGGTAGGGCAGCTTGTGTGACATTGTCTGTGTAGGTCCATATCCTATGTGTAACTGCTGTCTGATATTTAGCCTAAGTAGCATTTTGAGATACATCATAGGCCTACGTGTACTTTTACTTAAGTAATATTTAATTGCAGGACTTTTAGTCTGCAATAAGTATTACAATTGAGTAGACCTATGGCGTGTGTATTTATTTATTGTAAAATAACAACTGAGTGAAAAACGGAATATCCCCTCGTGAGTTACAAAAAGGTTGATCTTAATCCTAAATTCTTCTTCTCTGTGAAACACTTTGCCTACACGTTACCCATGTAACAACCGCGTGTTTGTAAATAGTCTATGGACGCAGTAAGTCTACGATTTTTCCATTAATTAGCACTTGTTTATTAAATATTATGAATATGTCTTTATTATCAGGCTATGTTCCACAATCATTCAAAGTAGCAGTGATAAAACCGCTTCTTAAAAAGCACAACCTCGATCCAGAGGTTTTAGCCAACTATAGACCTATTTCTAATCTTCCGTTCCTCTCAAAAATTCTTGAGAAAGCGGTCGCAAAACAGTTGTGTGATTACTTAAAAAACAATGATTTATTTGAAGCTTTTCAGTCTGGCTTTAGAACACATCATAGCACAGAGACAGCTCTGGTTAAAGTCACAAATGACATTCTAATAGCCTCTGACAAGGGACGTGTCTCTATTCTTGTTTTGCTCGATCTCAGTGCTGCATTTGATACTATCGACCATGATATCTTATTGCAAAGACTAGAGCACTTAGTTGGCATACAGGGAACTGCTTTAGACTGGTTTAGGTCCTATCTATCTGAACGCTCTCAGTTTGTACGTGTCAATGATGAATCTTCCACGCAAACCAAAGTTAGCCATGGAGTGCCACAGGGCTCAGTGCTCGGACCTATTTTGTTCACATTATATATGCTTCCGTTAGGCAATATTATAAGGAATCATTCTGTAAACTTTCATTGTTATGCGGATGATACTCAACTATATTTATCAATCAAGCCTGATGAAATTAATCATCTAAATAAAATTCAAGACTGCCTTAAGGACTTAAAAACGTGGATGACCTTAAACTTTTTGATGTTAAACACGACCAAAACTGAAGTTATTGTACTTGGCCCGAAGAATCTACGAAACAAATTATCTAAGGATATACTAACTATGGATGGCATTAATTTGGCCTCCAGTGAGACTGTAAGGAATCTTGGTGTTATATTTGATCAGGATTTATCCTTTAACGCCCACATAAAATCAATTTCAAGGACCGCCTACTTCCATCTACGTAACATTGCAAAAATCAGGCATATCTTGCCTCAAAACGATGCAGAGAAACTAGTCCATGCATTTGTTACTTCAAGGCTGGATTATTGTAACTCTTTATTATCAGGGTGTACCAAGAAGTCAGTCAAGTCGCTTCAGCTGATTCAAAATGCTGCGGCTCGTGTACTAACCAGAGTTAGGAAAAGGGACCACATTACTCCTGTTCTGGCTGCCTTACACTGGCTCCCTATAGAACACAGGATAGAATTTAAAATTCTTCTTCTCGCCTACAAAGCCCTTAATGGGCAGGCGCCATCTTACCTTAAAGAACTCATTATACCCTACTGTCCTACTAGGGCATTGCGTTCCAAGAATGCAGGGTTGTTGGTTGTTCCTAGAGTCTCTAAAAGTACAATGGGAGCCAGAGCCTTTTCTTATCAAGCTCCACATTTGTGGAATCAGCTTCCAGTTTGTGTTCGGGCGGCAGACACCCTATCCGTTTTTAAGAGTGCGCTTAAGATCTTCCTTTTTGATAAAGCTTATAGTTAGGGCTGATTAGATCCAGCCCCTAGTTTTGCTGATATAGGCTTAGTTTGTCGGGGGACATCTTACTTCTTCCTTCTCTCTGTCTATACCTGTGTACTCTCATGTTCCGATTAACCCAGCTTCCCCAAATGTCTTTCTTTTTGGTGTCTATATACGCCGGGATCCGGAGTCATGGATGATCCTGCGCTCCTCTGTCCTGGATCGCGAGCCCTGGATCTTGAGTCGTGGCTGTGGTCCTGGATCATAGGCCCTGGATGGATATCCTCGTGGATTCATCTTCCTATTATACACACATGCATTTCCAAACATTTGGACTACCTATGTTGCAAATGTATTATCTTTTCAATTTACACACGGCATCTATTGCACGTCTGTCCGTCCTGGGAGAGGGATCCCTCCTCTGTTGCTCTCCCTGAGGTTTCTCCCATTTTTCCCTTTAAACTGTGGGTTTTCTCCGGAAGTTTTTCCTTGTACGATGTGAGGGTCTAAGGACAGAGGGTGTCGTATTGTCATACTGATATTTTGTACAAACTGTAAAGTCCACTGAGACAAATGTAACATTTGTGATATTGGGCTATATAAATACACATTGATTGATTGATTGATAAGTTATATTTATTGATCTCAAATTGGGAAATGGTTTCGTTTCAGCAGCATACAAAAACAAGGCATTGCACATAATTAGAAACTAAAGAGTAGAAAATAAACAATTATAAAATAGAAACACTTCAAAATAAAAACAGAACTAGAAAATATACAAGATGATAGTGGTGGTCTAATGTACAAGATGATAGTGGTGGTCTAATGTACAAGATGATAGTGGT